AAGTTGGAGTATAACGGTATTGTTCACCAGCTGTATATAGATTTTAAAAAGGCTTACGATTCTATTGACCGCCAGAAACTGTATAATATTCTAATCGAGCAGGGGATTCCAAAAAAAACTAGTAAATCTAGTCAGGATGTGCTTGACGGAGACACTCAATAAAGTTAGAATCGGTAATAATTTGTCCGAAAAATTTGAGGTTCGTTCGGGCTTAAAACAGGGGGATTCTCTTTCGCCTATCCTGTTCTATTTGGCATTAGAACATGCCATTAGGGAGGTAATGCGAACCGAGAAAGAGTTGGATCTGGGCGGGACAACATCCGTGCTGGGCTATGCTGATGATCTGGTACTGTTAAGCGAAGACGTTGAAACTATAAAACTAAATACGACAACGTTAATGAAAGCCGGTAAAGAACTAGGACTCGAAATAAACGTGGATAAAACAAAATATATGGTTAGTTGCAAAAATGGCGATACTACTGGTGATATCGATATAGATGGTAATATGTTTGAACAGGTAAATAAATTTAGGTATCTAGGTTCTACGATAACTAGAAAAAACGAAATTGAAGAAGAGATTAAGGTTAGACTGAAGGCGGGGAATGCTTGTTATTTTTCTGTGACAAAACTACTTAGTTCGCGCCTCTTGTCCCGAAACTTAAAGATTAGAATCTATAAAATAATTATCTTGCCTATAGTTCTTTATGGATGCGAAACTTGGCCGCTTACATTAAGGGATGAGCAGCGTCTTAAGGTTTTTGAAAATAAAGTATTGCGTAGAATATTCGGACCGAAGAAGGATGAGTTAACCAGAGAGTTCAGACGGTTACACAACGCCGAATTGCGTGAGCTGTATCCGGATAATATAATTGAGGTAATTTCATCGCGGCGAATCAAATGGGCTTGTAAAGTTGTTGGGCTTAGTAACGAGAGAATTCCTAAAAGGTTAATATTTGCTGTGCCGAATGGTAAGCGTCCGAGGGGTAGACCGAAGCGAAGGTGGGAAGATTGCATTAAAGCCGATCTGAAGGGACTGGGTTTGGACGGCGAACGGTGGAGGGAGGTGTGTAACAAGCGATTGGTGGTGTCGGCATCGAACCTTCGGGTTCGCTAAGCCTTATTATTATTATTATTATTATTTGGATGAAATAGTGAAGCAATGGACGAGACTACGGAGTTTACTTTGATGACGACGAGTTCCTTACCCTGTTCTTCGCAGACGATCAGATATTGAAGGCCCGAAAGAAAGTTTTCCTGGAGATGGTGGTTGTCCAATTAAAGAAAGTTTATGAAGAGGCAAGTCTCAGGATAAACTTTCAAAAGATTGAGTATATGGCACTGGGAGATGAGGAAGACGAACTACGCATAGGTGAACAGGTGTGCAGAAGAGTAAAGGCATTTAAATACCTCGGATCCTATCTGGACGATGTTGGAACGTCCGGAGTGGATGCCCGAAACATGGTAGCGGTGGCAAGATAAGCAACTAGAATTCTGCCTCCTGTTCTCTGAAACGACACTATCTCAAAAGCGAACAAGCGGCGTATCTTCACAGCTATTGACGAGTCCATATTAACCTATGGATGGGACTCATGGTCGATGAATGCTGGCTTGTAAGCCAAAAATAAGACTGTAGGAATGAATTTTTGGAGAAGGTGTATGCAGTTAACGAAGACAGAGTCCGAAACGAAGTAGTGAGACAGAGAATAGGTGTAGAGGAGACCGTCTCTGAGAAGATCGGGTTGAGGTGGTATTTTATGTTTAATTGTTTCAAATGCCAGACAATTGTCATTTCATTGCTCATTGTAGTTATCCTTATGGTACTTACTGTCCTAGATTAAAATTTACTTTTGTTGTTCTTCTTCTTCGTGTACTAATTTTCTTTATCTCTTCCTATCTTGATCAATTCTCTTTTCCAGTTTTCTGCATACAGCTCTTCTACACTTCTCTTGATTAGGGAGGATCCATAAGGTTTTTGATCTCCAACGCGTTCTAATCTTCCAGTCATTATAAGAAAATTTTTGATGTATCTGGATACTAAAAACCCTTTGACAGTTAGTATATTAGTGACTTAAGGGTTATGTTCTTGTTACAGATTCCAATCTAAATATAACTTATAGATTAATTTCCATCCTATTAATAAGGAAAGTTTCATTAAAATCAGCAGGTGACGTTTCGCTCTGTTTACTTGTTAGTTTTCATTAAGGGAAGAGTGGGTACTTTATACTTCAATGCCCGGGAGAAGAAAGGAAGAATCAACGGGCTATGAAATTCTAAACGTGCCAAAAGAACACTTTAAAGTTTTAATTTAACTAGAAACTTTTCATAATTCTCCACCACAACGAGATTATCTCTCATTTTATTATAGGCGGAAAAATTGTAAAAAGTTTGCGGTTGCGTAGAACGGTGTTTAATTAAAATGAAAAGGTTTTTTTTTTCTCTCTCTCTCTTCCCCTTTTTTATATTAGACCGCTGCGGTGATACATATTTAGCTTTATCCAGACGAATAAGCTTTTTATAAATTTGTATTTAGAGTCACAATAAAAAGTGTTTTTATTGTTTCTTATATGAAATTGAGGTTCATATTTATTATTAAATATTATTTTCTTCATTATTAATAAAAGCGCTATACTTTTAACATATTGTGGTTTACTATTAGTCAAATCTGAAAGATCTCTTATAATGTTATTTTTTAAATTAATACGACAACTTAATTAGGGCAGATCATAAAATTAATCATTAACGTTCATTATTATTTATTCGTGATATTTTTTTTCATAATTATATTTATTAAGAGATATTACAATGTTTCACAAATGAGGGCATTTATAATAGTGTTCAGAGAGCACATTCACAATAATTCTATCAACAATAAATGATACAGAAAAATACTAATACTAAAAGTAAATGTATATAAACTAGACCAAATAAAAAGAAACTAAACTAATAAAAACAACTGCTCACATACACACATGCTTCTATTTATATCTAAAAAAAAACAAAAATAAAAAATCATTCACCCGTTTGTATTGTTTTACAAAAAAATTTTATTCGTTTTTCGAATTCTGCGTATCCTGTAACGTGAAACCCCAAATTTTGAGAGGGGGTATGTTTTTTAATTTGTTGGTCGATCAGAATGGTTCATTATTGAAAATAATAAACCAAAAATATTAAAAAATCAATATATCTTCACTAATAGTGCTTTGATTTCGATGAAATTTCCTTCATTTTTTAGGAAATTTAAATGCCTTTGATACATCTTACCACAATATCCACAAAAAAGTGTAAACTTTTTGAGTTATTCGGAGTTTAATTTTACCATCCCTCGTAACTTTTTTCCTGCTTCTTTTACTTGAAGTATGCTGTATAGATAAATTTAAAAGGCGTCGAGAAAATGACTTTAGCGAAGTTTCATTGAAATCGGTACATTCGTTTTGGCGCTACAGTCTATAGCAAGGCAGGTTTTTCGGCCGTCAATTTGAAAGTAAAAAAAAGGATAGGAATGTCAATGAAAGATCATCCTCGGTGAACTTTGATTTTATATCAAAATTTTAAAAAATCGGTCCAGTAGTTTCGGAGAAAATGGGCGGATGGCTGACGGCGGACAGACAAAAAAATGTTATTCGTTTTTCTAATGGTTCATTATTCTTCTTCTTTCATCCGGTGTTCCAACGTGGGATACCTCTTCAGGTCAGAGCAGAGCTCCACACATCTCTGTCCTCCCAGTCACCCTCCTGTAGACCTCGGCCGGCCATCTCTTCTCGGACTCCTTCCATCCATGTGGTTCTCGGTCGTCCTCGCCTTCGCTTTCCGGGTGGCTGCCAGTCCAGGACTCTGTTCGGCCAATGCTCTTCCAACATTCTCCTGCAGTGCCCATACCACCTCAATCGCCGTTTTCCGATCCTCTCAGAGACGGTCTCCTCTACACCCATTCTCTGTCTCACCACTTCATTTTGGACTCTGTCCAGCCTCGTTAACTGTAGGCTTCATTATTGAAAATAAAAAATCAAAAGTTGTAAACTAGCATTAATAAAAATAATTGGGAGTGAGCGTAGGCGGAAGTGCTAGATGGATGGAATTTCATAAAATTGATTTGAAACCATCTTTGCACCAATCCGCATAATTCATGAAAATCGGATGAACGGTAGCCGATGATATGCCCGTTATATCGATTTGCCTACAGACAGACAGGCAAATTTGATCCTTGATGTCTGAAACATAAAATTGGAGTGGAAATTTTCGATTCTGAGCACAACATTTTTTTAACCTCTCGCCCGAAAACAATGTTTCCCTACCTTCGGTAGTGAGGAAGCAAAATAAATAAAATACTAGGAGAATAAATAAAAATAATAAAGATACTAGGGGTAGAAAAAAAAATAAAATACTAGGAGAATAAATAAAAATAATAAAGATACTTAAAATACAAGACTTAAAATAATAACGAAAATAAAATAATAAAATACAAGACTTCTCACATCAACATTCTTATAAATACTAAAATAATAAAAACGGGAAATTCTCCCGAAACGGTTTTAAGTTGTACTTATTCTTTGATATACATTTAACTACACGTTTTTGTTTAGCGAATTCAAGATCTTAATTTTTTTTTTGATCCTTTTGCCTCTAAAATATGTCTAAAATTAGTATTTTAGTTATTAAATTAAAAACATTCTTACTTTAGTTATTAAGAAAAGGCTTTTTATTGCTCTCTTGCTATGCTTGATTTTGCCTCCTCCAGTTATATTTATTCCTAGACAAATTTGAAATGTTGAAAAGTTAATATAAAAATAACTATGTCTATCACATACCTGAAAATCTGTATATGTGCAAGGCGGAGCTGTACTTCGCTAAAGATAGAAAATATGATATATAATTCGATTTGATATATAAATTAATAGTTGAACAATAAATGTATACAATTTTTTTTAAATCATCAAGTAAAAAGTATATTTCGATAATATTATTCATATACTTATATTTAATCTATTTTGTTTTGTTTACAGTGAAATGTTCACATTAAATGCTTCCAACATGACCGTTTAGTATGAGAAGTCGAATGGTCTCAAGAATACTGTGTCTACTAGCACTCCTCAATTGTAGTGAGTAGCATCATTTATTTAAAAAGTTTCTTTTCTTATTTATTTATTAAATTATATTATTCACTGATTATTATTTAACAAAAAATTCATTTTTATTTCAAAGTATACATAATTATTTATATAAAAAAAACAAATACCATTAAAGGTATAATATTTCATCGTATTCTTTCTGGTTATACATTTTCATTTAACAAATCAGTTAATTAATAAGTATTTATTACACATATCAGAAATAATTCTAAAAAAGTAATGATTTTTTAAAAATTATATTAGTACAGTTTTTTTTTTTTTTTAATGAATAATATTAGCTATCTTCTTTTTATGATTTCATACCACTTAAAAATGTGAAAATCTTTAATTAATCTTAAGAAGATTATGTTCGTTCCGATCGAACATAGTTATTTTATTTACCAAATAATTTAATATTTTATTTAGCTACGCAAACCAAACGTAATATATATAGGTAGTATTTTATATTATAAAACTGTATAGTTTTACGAGCATCACCTTTATTCACCCATGAGCAAGGAGATTCATCAGAAATAGACAGCTGCAAAATAGATCGAAGCTCTGCATATTTTCCAACACGAAAAGCATATAAATTGCGTAATCAGGGATTTCCCCCTGTTAGCATTTCTTTCCTTCCTTTTTTTTCCCCCAACCGTTTCCTCTGGTTCTTTATCTTCTTTTCATTCAGCCTCTGCCTTTGTCTTCGTTATTCTCCCACAGGCATCACGCAAGGTTCAGCACTGCATGCTCTCATCCATCATGTATAATCAAGAGGCAGTGTTTGAATCAAGTCAGAAATATTTGTGATTTCAATGTTCAGCGCCACACTAAAACTATTTTGTTTTTTCAATTCAATAATGATGCTCAATGATAATTTATTTTTCGGTCGCATAAAATTTATTTTTTTATTCTTCTTCACAACTTGTATATAGCTTTTTTTCCCCTTCCCTTCCTGGTCGTAAGGGATATTTCACGGGACGCTAACTTGTAATTATTTTATTATATTATCTAGTTAATTAAGTTGCCTGGCAACGCGTGTTTTGCTCCCATCTATAGGTTCAATTTCAGAAAGTAAACCATGTTTTTATATGAATTTGGATGTTTCGGGGACTCTTCAGCATTTAATTCGTCCCAGTATTGCGTAAATCCCAGAATAAACCAACTCCGAAACGCACTAAGTAGAAATTAGAAAACTCTAAAAATTACATTGATTAAATTAGACATAGGCTAGGAGTGAAGAATAAATAAAAATTTGAGAAAAAAATTTCAAGTGTATTAAGTCATAAATTAAATTTATGAAAAATTTGGTGATTTAATAAAAAAAATCTGGTAAATTTTTTAAACAAGATCGTCCTCCTTAATCTACAGAGGGGGTAAAATTAATAAATATTTTCAGATGGAAGGTCCGAGTCTGATGTGAGAATCCAAAAAGAACATTTAGGATAATTCATACCTCGTTTTTGAGGTTAATCAGATATATGCAACACAGAAGTCATGATTTATGCGCTTTTAAAAAAGTCTTTAAATTGTAACTAAACTTTAATTCCAATAAACAACTTTTAACCTTAACGTGCATTTTACATTTTTTAAAATTTTATCCAATTCTTAATATTTATAACCAAAAGACATAGTAATATATAATTTTAATTAACGGCGTTGATGATCAACAGGTTCTACGCTTTTACTACACAACCAACCAGTTTTTGCAGAACTGAATTTAAAATTTTTATTTGAAATCATCTCTACTCTAAAGAGTCACTGGCGGTCATTCGTAACTTTTATATTCTGTTATAATATTTCGTTTCCATTAAATATAGGAAGAGAATGACGACATTCTCTTTATTTCTCTCGCGAAATATCCGTCTATGTCGTAGACAACTTTAATTTTTGTTTCTATTGGGGAAACTCTAGTAATAAGTGTTATACTGTTGGAGATTTTTTGGCAGGTGGGCGCTTACATTACATTATACGCTTAAATTACATTATACTCTAAGAATGTACCCTTGTGTAAAAAGACGGTGTCCAATTCGTATTATGCAAAATATTATTCTTATTCTTCCCTTCTTGATTTTCTGAAGCTTGGGGATGTTTTTTTCGTACTCAGTTTTTATCTCTGATAATTTAGCTCGTTTTATTGGTTTATTATTTTTAATAATGAACCATTGTAATCGTCCGGAAAATTCAAAATCATCAATCTCCTCCCCGCGAAATTTGAGGTTCTTCCTTTCAGGATACGTAAAACTCGAAAATGGATTAAAAAAATATTTTTGTCTGTCCGGCGTACATCATCTAACAGTCTGACAATCTGACAATCTAACTGATTTTTTTTTCAAATTTGGAATAAAAGTGAGAAGTCCCTCGAGGATGTTCCTCCAACCTCGAAATTACTATCCTCCGTTGCCTTTCAAGATGGCGACTGAAGAACCCATGTTGCTATAGACTGTAGCTCTTAAATGAATTCAACGATTTCAATGAAACTTGGCTAAATTTTTATTCACAATGCCCTTTAAATATATGTATAAATTATACTTCACCGGAAAACGCTTCTCTTTCGAGATGGCTGCCAAAAGAGCTGTGTTCGTATAGACTGTAGCGCCTGAACGGATTTACCAATTTCAATGAAACTGTGACCCTAAAATTTATCTATAGTACATAGTTCAACGATATGACGCTATAAAAGAAGTTACGAGGAGTCGCAAAATTATATTTCCGAATTACTTGATGTGATGGAATGCATACAAATTTTACTTACACCGTACTTGAAATAGATTTTTTTTTTTAAAGTTAAAAAACATCAAGGATTTTACTTTAACTAATTATGAACATAATTTAATCATAAAAACTTTTTCATTACATCTATCTTATAATTATAGCTAGAATACAATGTGGAACCGTGGTAAGGTTGGTAGCTCTAAGTATGGCCTCACGTCTGCGAATGCTATGTATAATGTAATATAAACTTTTTTATTAATATGTTACATAATCATTTAAAAGTTTACGAAGTATTAAAAAGAAATCGTTGAAATTGGACAATTAGTGCAAATATATGTATTTTTAAATACTTTTCATTTGTTCTACTGCAAAGCTTATTTCCTTTGTTTTGTTTTAAATATCCTGAAAGTGTTACATCAACTGAAACAAAGAGTTTTTTTTCTTAGAAAATTGCTAATGATGAAATAAAAAATGTGTTGGGCTATATTATGAATCACCTTTAATTTATTTCTTCCTTATTCCACAAGAAAAATAATGTTACTTTTGATATATATATATATATATATATATATATATATATATATAATTGTTTGGAAATAATAAACCATGGTGTAACAATTTGCAGCGTTTTATCGTATATTCCATTCTCTATTTTAAAATAGCTCTTCTCTTGTCCCCTGTGTCTAATCTTCAACAATGATGTCGTTTATTGCCGTTATGCTTGATAATTCTCCTTTCCCTTTCAAATGGGCAGCTTGGCCTTTTCAGTTTAATTTGATATTTTATGTACTTATTGATCTACTGAACATATATATAAAATCATATATAAAATATAAAAATAACGACAATGACTTATAAGTAATGAACAATTATTTTTATCTAACTAAATGGAGTATAGATGAAGACCAAAATCTTCGAGAGTCCTAATAAGTATATTCCTAGTTGGAAAAATTAATTTGAACTTAGATCCTGAACGAAGTTCTTGGAATTATAACTGCTGGAGGTAACTGGGTGACTAGCCATTATGGCAGCTTCAGGGCTCGATAAAGCTTCCTCAAGTTGGATCATTAGCGGTAGTTTGTATTGCCACGGGTCCAAGTGGTGTCTCTCATCTTTTAAACCAATCTTTTAGTCAGCCTGTATAACACCCGCTGTTGAGATACCTGAATTGAAAAGTTCAGATAAAATATTTGACATAAAAGTCTTTTAATATTTACTAAGTTAAAAACATGATATTATCTTCAAGAATTCTCGTTTTCGCTTTACTTAAATTATCTGAAAAATGATTCAATTAAAGTATCATTAAATCGATCGTGTGCCAATACGCCAATCATAAATGTCATGTTTTCTAACAAACCCGAACTTCTTTTTTTTTTTTCAGCTATATATGAATTCTTAAATATTCGACCAAATTTTGGTGAAGAATATTAAATAGTTGACCGTTGCATTATAAAGGAAGGAGATGGTCCGGAGTGGCGGTCAAAAATAGACTAAATAGTGGCAAAACTATTTTATTAAAAACCAAAGTTTCGACCGGACTTTGCAGGTCTTCTTCACGGCTAGAACGGACAAGATGCAAAATGATAGAGAATTGTGGAAGTTATATAATATTTGGACAAAAAACGCTGGCTTTTAATGGAATAGTTTTGTCACTATTTAGCCTATTTATGACTTCCACCCCGGACCATCTCCTTCCTTTAAATTTTTATAAATTTTTTTCAATTAATTAAGAGGGAAACCATGGTGTTAGAGCGTATCCCGGCCCGATCACCTTTCTGCACAAACCTTGGCCTAAGTCCTGAAACCAAAATCCTTGCTGGGCTGGAGTGATAAAGTTCTTTTTTGTTGTTATGATAGTGATTTTTTTAAAATTAATATTAAATTAAAATATAGTGTATAAAACGACAGGAAAAAATAATCCAGCAACCAATGCACGGTCGTGCATTTTTCTTTGGCAGATGAATCATAACATCGTGCTTTTTATAAAATTATAGATTTAAAAGCAATGTTTTTCTTTCCATAAACAATTTATTGGCGCTTGTCGACTTTCTGTTAACAATCAGGAAATGTGCTTGAAATACAAGATATAAATGACATGTCAGGCATGGAGAAACAAAGTACTCAGCATCACTTCTTCCCTAACTTGTTTCAATTACTGTTTAAGGAAGGAGATTTCTCATCCGACGCCTTTTTAGTCTCCTTCTCATGTTCTGGAGTACGTCAACTGTGGCCATGTATCTTATTAATCTTTTGCTATGTCCGTCTAAATGAGTATAAAA